TTCAAGTTTCCATTTATTTTGTGGAGTAAGCCAACTTTGATTGTATTGTGCATGCTTCGGTTAATATCAGATGCATTGTAGATGCACTAAACGCAATTTGCGTATAGAATATTCAAATTATCTTTTTATTAATTCTTTATTTCGCTCTATTAAATTTCTATTATTTTTCGAATTGATTTAATATTTCTAAAAAAAAATAATTATAATTCTAAATAATTTATTTTTTAATAATTTTTAATCTACTTAATTGTAATTTTTTTTGTATTAGACAATATGTGTCAGTAAACTGTGATTTGTGAAACATTTACGGATCAAAGCACACGAATAAATAATGTAACATTATTTGTTACTAAAATCAATTGAATGCTGAAACCTGAAAAATGATTACGTCTTGTACTTCCGCAAAAAAATTTCTTAAAATTTCATAACGCTACGCATTTATTTTTCCATCAATTCTGCGATATCTTGTATACTTTACTCGACAATTTAATTTGTATGTAGACTATGCGAGATCTTATCGGCACAGTTAATGATCAAAAGGCCTAGCTCATCGCTCTACGAATATTAAGAGAATGTCGAGTGAGATTGACTTGGCCCAATTTGTTAATAAGCTCGTGCGCGTAATTGGACCGCGTCACGGTAAGATAATCCAGTCGTGTGAAAGTTATCGTCGTGGTTCTCGATAATACGATTAGAGGGAGAAAGACAGGCATCGCGCAAGTCGAACTGCAGATTTTGACGATGATAGATTTTCACTCTGATTTCCCTAGTTCGTTTCTTCATTATCGTGCTCTTCATCGTGATCATCGTCGGTGTAGTGCATTTATGACTTTAATCTGAAGACATGATCGCGATAACTTCATTGTCTAGATTGGTCCATTTAAGTTAAGTAACATTTATGTGATAGGCGAACTCGGGAAAAATTTTAGCGTAAAGGCTGAAATATAAGTGAATAAAAATTATTTTAATAAGAAGTTCGAATTTTTGGCTTAATTAATTATGCGTCAATCTTTTGCTTAAAAATTCCACGTTTCGCTCTATTTGATTTTAGTTTAATGTCATTTACACCGGATATATTTTCTATGTTGTGCTAATCGAAATTGCGGTGAATCAGAATTAGTTGCGAAACATTAATACTCCAACGTAATGTTGCGGAGAAGGCTCGCACGTTATATAAAGTATCGCGAAATAGAAGCGATAGAAATGCGATGTAAATCTGTTTATGTTTGTGGACTTATTCCGCGGTAAAGTCTCAGCGAAGAAACTTCCTATTGTGGCGCGCGGTAACGGAAGTACACGTACTCCAAATGGCATATATGCATCGTCTGGTCAGTGGTCATTATCATATGAGAATGTGACGGTTTACTTACCATGAGAAAATAGCACCGCCGGCATAATCGCGCGTACATATACGCGCGCACGCATGTGCGATTTAGATGCACAGTTATCGCGGCGACGCAGCGGCCGTGCGCGCGCACGCGCGCGCGTAAAGGAGCTCGCTTTTCGCGTTACACAAAGACCTCCGAATGGCGATCGTTGGTTGTAATGATGAAGCGTGATACAAATATAATAAAAGCGCTTGAGCGACGTTAATCTACGCTATGAAATATGTGAAATAGCGTTTGCGGGGAAAGAGCTGGCAGAGCGTGGCAGTGCGTCGACCCTTTGTGCATTATCTTTGAACGTGTGTACGCTAGATTCGATTCGCAGATTGCGGATTGTGTATGTGCGGCGGAGCTCGCTCTCGCACACACGCACACACAGCGATCTCGCCTGTCGACGCATCGCGAAGCGCGTCTCGCGCACCGTGTATTCGCGCTTTTCCGCAGACGAGTCGCATAAATATTTCTATCTGATTGTGTTATAAATAAACGTCTAATTAAGAGGAGAGTACTAATTCACGGCGATGTCGGTCAATGTAACTATTAATAATAGTGAAGCTAAAGTGGTTCTGCAATATACACGGCGCTAACGTCTGATTTTAGCTGTCAATAATATATGTCTTAAGTGATTTCGTGGAGTTAACTTTACATTTGTTCAAGTAAAATATTGAAGTTACGTCAACTGTTTGCAATTCTAAATGCAAGATTGAACGGCGATTAAAAACACAATATTTTTGTTGCGATCGAACTTTATGCTCGTTCTGAATTTGGTTCTTCTAATGTTTAAACGATATATTTGTTGATCATGATTTCACGGCTAGTGTTATTGGTCTCGCGGTTAAGCGTGCAATAATGTTAATTAATTAACTCTACAGTCTACCGCGAGCCGCTAATTGCAACCACCTAAGCATACTTAAATATTGATTAGTGTTTCTATTATCTTAAGCCCAGGGATTATAATTAACAGCTGAAATTATCAAACAATATCAAAAATTTACCCGTTGAATCAATCCTGTTTTTGTTCCTTGAATTTTATCATCAATAATGCTAAATTGACCAAAAATACCAATTGTATTTTAAAACCTCAAAATTATTAATAATCACAAATGATATTATTCTATTTTGATTTATGTGATTCGATGATAGAAAAACAATTACGCGTAGCATACTGGACGACATTTTAATCACCGCTTAAACCGGTTGAACTTGCTAACTGATTCCAAATATTAAACGCCATTAATATGCGTACGTACGTCTAACATTTAGAGTTGTTTATCGAGATATATTGAAGTCATTAATGTCGTAGATAATTATTTTCGTAATTAATTAGTGTTTCCTGATGATAGATAATAATTCAATTTGTTAAAGCAAAACCAAGAAGATATTCTTTTAATTGAAATCAAAACAACGTTAATTTTTTTATCTGCGTTAAGTATTTTACTATCTTAAAGTTATCTTTCTTTTTTTTTTATTTGTCGTGAAACACTGCCTATTGATAAGCACGATTATTGCATTTTACTTTACTTGTCGAATTATTAGAACAGTTTATTGATATATTACTTTGTTATTTTTACAGTTTGAGCGAATGTTACTTCGCGGGCAAGGGCGCAGCCCTGGTTTTACCGCCGAACGAAAGGGCTCGTCCTTCCAGACGAGTCTCGGCGGCAGGATGCGATATCCAGCAGCACTTACAGTCCATGTTCTACCTACTGAGGCCCGAGGAAACTTTAAAGATGGTAAGTACAAAAAAAAAACAAGTTTTGAAACAAAGTCTTTTTACGCCTTTTCTTGACGTAAACTTGATACTACGAAATTCTGTATTTTATATTACGAAAGTACACGGCAACCATTCGATTTTTATCATTCGGATTTGAATGGCGCAGAAATGATCGGGTTTCAACGTAATAATTTATGTTTTCGTGTAGCTGCGGGAAAAACAGAACGTTAGAATGCATCGTTTGAAACCCGACTGTTACGCGGACGCTAAAAATATTCCGCCGTTTCCGAGAATTGGCCAATTGTAAATTGGCAGCGGTTTCGACGGTCGCCTAGTGTGGCGGTATATCTTGTCACGGGGGTTTTCGCCTTTCGATTCCGCCACCAGCTCTTGCGCGATTTATAGCTCGGATTGCAGGATAATTCCGCGCGGAGTCACGTTTCGGCGCGGTTTTCTTGAGATCGCGAACAGACAGATCCATGTGGTTTTAATGCGCGCCGTCGAGAAATTGGCAGCTCGTGCACTCTCCGAGTCGATTCGACCGCGCCGAGAATACTCAGCTTACAGCGGCTTTTACTATTCCGCGCGATTGTAGCCGAAGACCCCGTCGGAGTCGTGTAAACAAGCGAGTATATTCAGGTACGCTCCACCCGCCGTCGTGCAGTCTTGACGAGGCGAGGAAGTTGGCAGTCGCTGTTATCTTGAAACGTGCTCTGACATAATGATCGTGATTCCGCAAGCCGATTTCATGTCTTTATCGCGTGTAAATATACAGTCTGTCTACATAACAATTGAAGCGTTGAGAAGAAAAACTAGGCAACACCTCGAGGAAATTACAGACAAATATCGATAATTTGTTAAGCTTTAATTTTTATTTTTAGCAAACTAATTTTTGTTCTTAGCACTTTACTAACAACGGTCTACGTTTCAAAAGCATTTCTGCGTAAAGAAGTTATGAAATTACGTTGTGATTTGTTGACATAAGAAATATGAAAATTATTTCTGCTTTTCGAAAATCTAGCGCTAACTTTGACATTTAAAAGCAGTTGATTCTTGAAACAACGTATATCATATTTTTATTGATCGTATTGTAGAGCACACGCATACGTTGGTCACGATGCGTAAGCTACGTAATTAATGCCCGCGGGGTTAATTAATACACTTTAACTTTTCTCCGCGCATCTGGCAATTAACAAGTCGCGGAACTTTTTTTTCCTTCTTCAAGATAGGGACTTTAATTTCCTTTACGGCCAGTACGGAAGTGATTCTGCCGTTATTCTCCTTCGTATGAGGAAGTTCTGCGTAGTCTATAATATTTCCGTCGGAGATCCCTAAGTAATATAGCCACAACAGTGAGTTTGAACAATGCGTTCTCACATAAAATATAAGACGCTCTTGCAGCCTTTCATCATCTAACAGATGTATTCAATTTTTAATATTTCGTAATACTTAATTTTAAATGCCAAAAGTCTTAACAAACTGTTTTCTTTCAAAAATTTTTTCAAGAATATTAAATAATAACGGCATTTGAAATAAGATAGAAGTATATATAAATTTATATTTTATTGGCACGGTAAATCTGACATGTTGAAAATTCTACAAACTGAATTACATTTTTATTTTGCTAAAAATTCAATTGTCAAGTATAAAATTAGCTGATTATATAATTCATTTTTGGAGCATTTGGATCTTGATATAAATAAATAGAATTTAATAGAAATAAATAAGAATTTAGACGCGCACATATTGAGTCTTAAGAAATATTCCGCCGTGTCAGCAGTGGCGGAGCATTCCATATGCGATGCGATTTGTAATCGACGGATCGATAAGGGATAGGAGGGAACCGATCGCGATCTCGAATGCGCTCCGCGCTGTCTACCGCTCGATCGTGCGCGGCGACCTGGAATTTTCAACGTGGGACCGTTTCGACTCAGCGTCGCGCGACGATGTCGCGGCTCGGGACTGTCGCGAAGTGGGCTAAGCGCGACCCACATGCGCGGGTCGTCGTCGTCAGAGCGAAGGCGACGCATTTGAGGTCGCGGCCGATGAGCAACGAGCGCTTCCGGTCGACACGCGAATAAGGAAAGGCGGCTGCGGCGATAGCCGCGGCCTTTGCCGTCGCAAATACAATCGAATCGATAATCGCAGGAAAGACAGTCGTGTAAGCCAATTTTTTTTTTCTATAAATTAATTGGATTAATAATTCTTATTTCTAGACAAGTATTACATGAAATTTTTGTGTTTTACATGTGCTTTTGAACACACATCGAACAACAAATATTTTTGTACGATTATGTTTCGTGACACTTTAGAAAATTAGAAAGAAATTTAAAATATTAACTTGATCATAAATTAAGAATATATGAAAGTCTTTTTGAGGGTTCATTGTTATCAATAGTGCGAAAAAATCCAGTAACCCAATTTTTAATCACATAATCTGTGTACAACTCATGCTCACGCACGAAACCTTCTTTCGGACACTCTCACCGGCCGCTCGGGATATAAAATTATTTATACATGATTCATCTCATGCATGATCGTCCAATTTGGGCGAAAGTAGAGAATGACTGTACCTCTTTCATCGTTCGGCCTGGATGATCGTACTTCTTTTTGGACCATTGTTTACGCGATTTTCTCTCACTCTTCGAGACGGCCAACCGTAAAAAGAAGAAAAAATGAACGGCATGAATTCGCCATTTACCTTTGACTTGAGTTCGCGCTCCAGAGTGGGGACGAGTCTAGTTCTAGAAGCAAGCGTTGCTAGAGTAGAACCCTGACCCGGTTCGGCGCGACTTCAGCTCGCTCGCCTTTATCGCGAGGAGGAAGGAGGAGGGAGAGGCAGGAGATACGAGATGACGGTCACGGTGTCCTCTTCGCGATTCGACGGGTTTTGACGACCGAGGTCAAGGGCGAGTTAGGCGACCGTTCGGGGTCTCCTGCTCGCCTTCGACACCGCTGGAGGTTCGGAGACACGACCGAACCGGATTCCTTATCGGACTCGATTAGCGGCGAAAGAAACTGCGCCGACGGTGGGAGAGCGCGCGAAGGTGATCGGCATTCCCCGCATTTTAATCGTGCAATTTATAATTTCGCGATTAGGCGCGTATCAGGTGTCGCGAGAAGGTTTTTGCTCTCGATTCACGCTGCGACTTGCGGCGCGATTTTGCGTACCGCTTTTCATCGCGCGCGGCCTTTATCTCGCGCGATATCGCGGACAGTCTGATTCATGATTTGAAAGAGGCCTGATATAGAGTCCTTAATATTTCAAGACCACTTTCAGCGTGCACGTTGAATAATACACGCCGCGTACTTCCCGGGCAGTTGTACTTTCTTTCGCAGTTCCGTGTCGCGGATGTTTGAACAGACTATACCCACATTGAGGATATAGTTTCGCGGAATCGCGATAAAAGTTTGAATAGCGTGCCAAAAATACACCGCGTCCTTACTCGTAAGTGCAATGCACGCGACGCGCGATACGAGAGTGCTCGCTCGCTCGCGCGTAAAAAACGCAAGTTGCCTTTGCGGCGAAGAAGTGCATTACTGAAATCACTTCGTCACATTCGCGGGCGGCTAATACGCGCGGAGGAGGCAATAAAATCGCAAGCTCATGATTCTGACCTTTACGACGGTGTAAATCGCGCTATGAGATAGGAGCGCGCGGCGGAACGCGAGCCCGGGCTTATATCGTCATCTCGCTCCTCGGTAGTCGAGCAATTCGCCGCGTTGATCCTCTTCCGGCCGAGAGCGAAAAGGGAACGCGCTGTCGTGATAAACGCGCCGATCCCTCGAGTGACATTATATATCGTTTCTTTGGAATATCGTTTCTTGCGTTTCAATTTCGCCGTCGATCAATGTCCGCCTCGTCGTCCACGCGAACGGGATATCGGACGCGTGATCGTGTAAAACACTCGCTGAAAGAGTATCGATGGGATCCGGCACGAAAAATGCCAATTCATAATTTAAAAGCAGAAGGAAGGAAATATCGTATCAATGGTCAGCGTTAGAGATGATAAGTGCTTATTTAACTTGTCGGAAGATCGATTTTGAGGCTCGAGATGCCAAAGTGGGAGCAGCAGAGAACTTTGCACGACTGACGGTATCAAATATCCACCTGTCACCGCCGTACAATACGTATCCAATTTATCTTTCAATTTGAGATATATTTAACTTTTCACTAAAATTGCTTTCAAAATAAACGCGCGTTACATTGCCGCTGAATTTAACATATCCGTTCTACTTTCATATCAGAACATATTATCAAAAATATCGATTCCTCTGGCATAGTTGACTGATATATATATCTCTCTTTTTGTAGATGAAAATTCCAAAATTATTAAATGTTCATTGTATTAGTGCTATGTTAAATATTCGCGCACGAACATACAAATATTAATATAAAACTCATAAATTTTTTTACAAATCAAATACATCGAAGAAGTTTTGAAACGAAAAATGTTACGCGTGTTGCGAAACAAATTGGTCAAGATTGACGCGATTTCGATTCGGTTTATAATTACAATTAGCAGCTTCATTAAATATTTGGATATAATATTTGTTGCCAGCTCAATTTCACGATTAATATCTAACGCCCAGCTTTATTATGTTTATTTTACACTTCGTATATTCTTTTGCTTTTAAGTAATTATCATTCGACACAAAGCATCAGCACCGGATATACTTGTCGATTACTCGCGACGCAGCGGTCCGTGTTTCTCCTGCTGCGATGCAAATTGCCGTGGTGATAAATCGTTTATAATGCCGCTAATGCAACTTTAAGTTCCTAGGAGCACGCGATCGTCATTACATTACCGCGCGTTATCGTTCCATTCCGCCGTCTTAAGTGACGATCGTCTCAAAAAATCGAATCGCGACGAACGTTGAAGGGAGGAGAAGAGCTGCGAGCGGGTATACGATTCGATTAATTTAACGAACGTCGGAACGTAAGTCTCACAGTTAGTAATCCGACCGGTCGCGACATTCTCGTAATCTGGAGTATCGCCGTTTAGAGAGAGTAAGTAC